TTGGCAGAACTACAGGTAAATCTTCATTTTCGCTAAAATGATGACGCACAAATGTTTCCCGATCACATTGATGGGAAACGTTCATGCAACATTGCAAGGCACAAGAGATCCTCATGATGTCATCATTGCAGGTCATATTAGCAATTCCAAAGGAAAATACTGTAACTCTGCCAGATCTACTCCGAATTACATAAAATAAAATGCAGAAAAAAGGTAGAATTTCATGCATTTCGATTATGTAAAATTTAGGAGTATGTTTTACATAATTGGCATGTCACCACCCAGGTTATACCAACAATTCAGAGAGACAATACTGTAACTCTGTCATATCTACTCCAAATTACATCAATCAAAATGCAGAAAAAAGGTAATATTCCAGAGGATTTAATCACTTAAATTGTAGTATTATGTGTTATATAATTAATGAGCAGGATGCATCTGGACTGAAATAGGGCAATAATAACTTACACAGTGCATTGTTGTATGACAATCCATGTTTTGATGAACAGCCAGCAGCCAATTTGTGTAATTTCAAATCTTGCATGCTGCTGATAAACAAGCATCAATAACATTGGAATCAAGCTCATATGAGGCATCTATAATTGGAGAAATTTCCCCAAGCTTTGATGCCAATGTGTATACCCTGCCACCCAAAACGATGATGTACAAGAGGCATTTATGTACAACTATATATATTTGTGATCAATGTCACTGCCAAACAGAATGACATGTGACAATAGGAACTGCTGAAATGTCCTGCAAGGTTTTGGCAATGTACCATCCCTTCTTCTTGGGGTTCTTTGGACATCAAATTCATGCTCATGTCTGATACCACCCATAACACACTCGAGGCAGGAACATGCAAAACACCTTGTCAACTTGACCAGCCCACATGTTGCATCATTGCGTATTTGGTGGGCCAGTCACAGTTCAGATACCATGAGTGCCAGATGAAATGATTATAAAAGCATTTGGTATATATAATTAAGGAAGAATCATTCGTGGGAATGAGGACCATCACCATCCTTGTCAATGTTGATATAGATGCTCATTCAAAATAATACAACTTGTGTTGGGTATATAAAGTGCCTTTAACCGGTGATGACCATTTTGAGCGAGAATCCACGCCATCACCAGACGGTTCACACAGTCAGTAAGACATTGTAGTGTTGACTACAAAAATGCTAACGGAAGACTACAAACTCTGGATAAAGACTACAAAATCCCTGACCATGGGAAACCATCAATTTTCGTGGGAGAAAGGCTAAATTCTGCGTTAGTGCTACTGAAAAAATCCTCAAGTTCCAGGGTAATAAACAAGTCTCTTTGTAAACTCAGAGGACTCGTAATACTATCTGTGGTTACAGACAGTCCATGGCAAATAATTAAGAGAGGCAAAGATAAGAAAGCAGAGCAACCCAAGAAAGCTTCAACATTTGTCCCAGCTAAGGGATCAGTTGCAGTCAAGCATAAGCTGGATGATGATGATGAGATTAATATAAAGAAAAAGAGTAAAAAAATACTGAAGCCTAAGTCTAGCATCAAGTTGGGACTTCAATGGGATAGTATAAATTACAGTTGTGCATATGATAGCTTATTTGTGATTTTATATCATATTTGGAACATAGATCCTCTGAGGTGGACTACAAATTTTACAGAGATCAACCTGTTGGAGCAGCTAATATGAGGGAGTATAAAGCAAGAAGGATAATGAATTGGGGGCTCTCGAGCCCTCCTTATATACTACAATATGTAACTACTAGAATACTCTACAATATACTACTTAGTCCTAGATAGGTTGAGCATGCACTGCATCAGCATGCCGGAGTTGCCGGTCCGCTATGGCTATCCAACACTCCCCCTCAACTCTGAGTCCATGCCAATGCGAGAATTAAACTTCTCGTGTGCTGGGCACAGTAATGCCTTGGTAAATACATCAGCTAGATTGTTCTCTGATGTGCAGTGTTCTATTATGATTGAATTGTCACCAAGCCATTCGTGTACGAAATGATGTTGAATATCAATATGCTTTGACTTTGAGTGCGACCCTTGATTCTTTGAAAAATCAATTGCAGATTGATTATCAATGTTGAGTTGCATAGGTTTATTCTGTAGTAAACCAATTTCTGTTAACAAAGTGCAAAGCCATATTGCTTCACAGGTAGCTAGACTGGCAGCCATATATTCTGCCTCCATCATAGATACCGCAATGGTGTGCTGTTTGCGTGATGCCCATGAAATGGGCACATTCCCAAGTAAGAAAATGTATCCCGATATAGATTTGCGATCAAGATCACTATTTCCCCAGTCCACATTGGAGTACCCTTCTAAAATTGGAACAGTGTTCCCACTGCCGTAGGTTATTCCATAATTGCGTGTTCCATTTAAATACCAGAAGACACATTTAATTGCACTCCAATGTTCAGGGCTCGGGTTACTTGTAAATTGACTAAGGTGCTGGACTGCATAAGCAATGTCCGGCCGTGTGCCAATTGCTGCATACATTAGCAAGCCAATTGCCACTGCATACTGTGGAATTTTGTGATGTTCTCCTTCAGGAGTTTTAGTCAATTTGACATTTGGATCAAGTGGCATTTTGACAGGTGTGGATTTGGACATTCCAAATCTGTCCAAGATCACTTCAGTCACCCACTAACAACTGACTATTAGTCTTGCAAACTCCATGAATACTACGGGACTAAATGTCAGAGTGTATATCTATATTGTATATATCCTGGGGCTTGTATATCTCTACTTTACCTAAATATATTTTGAACTCCAATGTCACACCAAATATATTTGTAGTGTGTCACACACCCCAAAATATATTTCTTCACTGAGATCGACTCCAAATATATTTCTTATGCCTGGACCCTGAATTGTGACTGTCACAATGTAGAAATATATTTCTGGTCTGGGATGGACTTAGGATATATTTTGCTGCTGGGGTTGACCAAGGATATATTTCTTCAGCCACTAGGGGTGTTTGGGGTCCCAGTCCCTAAAAAAAACTTGTGATTTTTCTGCCATGTGAGACATATATTCTAGGTAATTTTCCTATTAATTTTAGAGTCTTAGCCACCATCTGGAACTGTGTTTCCTTGACTATTTGGACGATATAGACCACTATAATGGCCTACATGAAGGCTACAACAGTCTGACTGTCCATCTTTTCTTGCACTTGAACATTGTGGATTGAAACTCTTGAAAGGCAGGCCTATGACTTGAGCAGGGAACATCACAGATCAAAATTGTTAAGTTGGATGACTATGACTTGGGCAATGATCATTGTAGTCACAACTGTGTTTTAAGTTGGTGAACTACATTTTGGGCGATGAACATGCATGAAAATGGTTTGATAAGAACCATTCAGGTTGGAGGACTATGACTTGGACAAGAATATTGTAGATTTAAACCTTTCAAGTTGGGGAAATATGACTTGGGCAATAAACATTATTAATTAACACTGTTCAAGTTGGATGACTATGACTTGGGCAATGAACAGGTCAGGTAGATTGTATGAGTGGTGAAACAACCAGATCTTGTGACTTGTGTCTAAAATGCAGCTGAGAAACCCATCTGTAATGTGGTGGACTGTATCAATAGTCATGCAAGGCATAAGATTGATGCTTGCAATGGCAACTTCATACTTGATTTCAGCTTTGGCAGCAGGAAAAATCTGGCAGGCAGGCATGGGCTCTCCTTTGACACCATTGCCAAGACCTTGCCTTTTCAAGGAAAGCAACTCAGGAACCTTGGACTTGAGGTAGCATTGTGCTGTCTGAAGGACAGTTCCTGAGGTTTTCAAATGATGAATTTCTTTGTGAACACAGCCTTTTGTATGGACCTGACTCCATCATGCACCTGAAGCTGATTGGACTGGCACCTGATTCGTGGGAGCAAATTAGAGAGGGATGCTGGGTGATGCAGGCAACAAGTTGGTTGTTGGAGTGTTTGGAGAGATATATACATATTTCAAAAATTTATCCACACTCCCCATGAATATATATACTGTGTGAGATTATCATCCTTGCACATAATCACAGAATATATTTAAATGACAGGATATATATGTATACTTGGTAAATATACCTGAGGCCATATATCCAAGTAACAGTGCATACACTTCACACATATTCTTAATATATATATTTGCAAAAATATATCCAGTCAATTTCCACTCCCCATAAATATATATACTGTGAGACCATCATCCTTGCACATAATCACAGAATATATCCAAATGACAGTATGTATACACTTGGTAGATGTACCAAAAATATATCCACAGTCAATTTCCACTCCCCATGAATATATATACTGTGTGAGACTATCATCCCTGCACATAACCACACAATATGTCCAAACAATAGGATATATATACTTGGAAAACAGATCTGAAGTTATACATATCCAAGTATCAGGACATAAACTTAGTAAATTTATCTGTTGTATTCAAAAGAGAAAGGTGCATTTTATTCAATGTAACTACATAAATTCACATGACTACATTGCATATTGGAGAAATGGAAGGGGGAGGGAGTGAGGGAGGTGGTAGGCAGTGAGGGAGAGGGGTGGGGGTGGTAGGCAATAAGAAAGAGGGAGGGGAAAGGGGTGGTAAACCATGAGAGAGGGGATGGTAGGCAAGGAGGGAGGAAGGGAGGGAAAAAAGGGGGTGGGTGGTAGGCAATGAGGGAGTGGGGAAGGGGGTGGTAGGTAATGAGGGAGGGGGGAGGGTGGTGGGCAGTGAGGTGGAGGGTGGTGGGCAGTGAGGTGGAGGGTGGTGGGCAGTGAGGTGGAGAATGGTGGGCAGTGAGGTGGAGAATGGTGGGCAGTGAGGTGGAGAATGGTGGGCAGTGAGGGAGAGGGGGTGAGGGTGGGGTATATCATGTTTTCGTCGTTGCCGTACGTCCTGTGCACGCCCTCGTCCGTCTGCTCGCTGTCGCCGTCTTCGTCGTCCTCCGTACGTCGTCTTCGTCATCGTCCGTACGTCGTCTTCGTCATCGTCCGTACGTCGTCTTCGTCATCGTCCGTACGTCGTCTTCGTCATCGTCCGTACGTCGTCTTCGTCGTTGTCGTCCGTACGTTGTCGTTGTCGTCGTCTGTACGTCGTCGTTGTCGTCCGTACGCCCTCGTCGTTGTCGTTGTCCATACGCCCTCGTCGTTGTCGTTGTCCGTACGCCCTCGTCGTTGTCGTTGTCGTCCATACGCCATCGTCGTCGTCCGTCCTTTGTACACCCTCCGGTGGCCACCTTTTGGTTGGCATCTGTCCCGCCTCGCGTCGTGACGTGGACGCTGACGAGCGGCATACCCCTCCCTTTGCGGAGGGGTGGCATCTAGCAGGCTGGTGCTCTGTTAGTTATGTGACAGAGGGGGAGGGACTTACTGTGGTTTACATCGATGACGACGACAACATAATCATCGTTGTCGTCCATATGTGTCACATAGTTGCCACGTCGCTAACTGCGACATGGCCTGGCTCGCGCGTGGGTCGTTCGTGGCCCTGGGGCCGTGGCGTGTGCCGGTCGTGGTTTTTCGTGGGCGCTGGTCGTCGTTCGTCACCTGGCGTCGGTGTTGCTTGTGGTTGCCATCGTTGTTGGGCAGTCATGGTCATTCGTTGGTTGTTTGCGTGTGGGTGTCGAGTTGTTGGGTGGTTGTACTCGTTTGTTGGGCGTTGTCCATTGCAGTGGTGGGGTTGCATGACAGGGCATGGTGGTGTCAAAGTGGGCATGTTGGTGGTGGTTGAACTTGAAGCGAGAAGCCATGTCACAATGTGTAACGTTGGCATCAACCACCCGTAGGATGACAATCATGTCCAAATAACCACGTAGCGCGCCTGTGGGCACAAAACCCGCTACCCAGCTTTTTGTCACTAATGAAATCCATTGTGTTAAGGGTACGGACACGCTACCATTTACACCATTCTTTTGTGCATAGAGTCAGACAAAAACTGTGGGAATCATTAGGATTTTACTTTATTTCAATGAACATAATTGTTCCTCTATATAGGGAGGCGCACCGCCGCTTCAGGTGCCGGATTGTCTGTACTTGTTGTATTTCTGTCATTGTCTCAAGATGAATGGAAAATCAATATTTTGGGACGAATGTCTCCCATTTGCCCAATATTTATACGCAGATCAGGTTATATAGATATTCCATTGGGCGTAATCACTGTGATTTTTTAAAATTCGCACTGTAAACCAGAGATCTTTGATGAAAAATAGGCTTTGGGGTAGGAATTAAAAAAAGTACTGTGATTACACCCAAGAGCAAGCCGAAAAAGTTGTGTTGAAGTATTCAGAATGTCAATAATAGCTTCAAGGAAAGAGAAAAATTGTTTTAGGTGGGGCTGAGCCAAATCCTCATTAAGTGATTATATAATACATGTAATGAAAACATCAAGAGCTGCCTGAGATTCAGAAAAGCAGGTCTATACCCACTGACAACTGATATTCAATACACTATCATACCCTAATGGGTCATGAATACAAGAAGCAGAGGAAATTCTCAAGAAAACTACAAAAGTCAGACAGTTGACAGTGGGAATGGCAACTCAGATGACAGAAACTGTAGCTGCAGCTGGCAAGAGGATGCCTCTGAAGAGTCATATGAAGAATAAAGCCCAGAGGATACTGGAATTGAGGAAAGCCGTGGCTAGATTTCATGCAAGAGGTGAGACAAAGGAAGGAGCATATGTATTGCTCAACGGGGTATTGGAAACTAATAAGCAGGGTGGGGAAGATTACTTATATGAATCAGATGATGATGATTTGTAGTTTATGTTCTTATATACATACTCTACATACTTACATTCGAACAAATACAATGAGAAGTTGAGCTACTTTATAGATGTGGAGACTACAAATTTTGTGCTCTCAAAAAGAGGATACAGTCTTTTACAGGTCCTCAATACACCCAAATGATAAACTCTTCCCATCCATGAATGACTTCAGTTTTCCGAAATCTGAAGAGACAGAACCCTTTGTATTACCTTAAATAAGCTACATACCTGAGCATTTGAAGATACATGCAAAGCTGGCTGTGTATCTTGTTGAATACTAGTGTATCAAGGAGGTATAAGTCCATTTTAGGAAATGATACCAACAACAACAAGCCTCATTGCTCTGTGTTCAACCTTGACTGGTCATTATAACTATCGGAGGGTCTTTATAGAAGCCATATGTCGGAGATTTATTTCTTTTGTCACAACCAACCAAAATTGGGACGGCATTGAATCGGCATTCTAACCAGTGCTAACTGTTGAAAGTTCTTTATTTTTCCATTTTTTAGCCCAAAATTGGCTACAATCACGCCGGAACTCCCATTGCCACCTGTTGCAACCAGGTTGCCACCCTGGATGGGACCAAAATTGTAACCAAAAACTCTTTGGTTGCTCTTAATTATGACGGCAATTTTGATAGGAACATCCACAACAAGTTAGAACCGGTTGAGATGCCGAATTAGAAAACTCCGACATATGTACCCACAGATGATATAAGTACACGGATTTGAGGTGGTTTGAAGAAACTACACAAGGGTCGAAAGTGTATCAAGGACCTATTCTGTATCGAGGACCTGTAAAAGACTGTACTACAAAGTTGTGAGGGGATACTACAAAATTTTGGAATGGACACTACAAAATTTGAATAGACGAAGAACGTCACATGTTGTGACTTGGTGACGTTACAACTCACAACCACTCGTCAACGTCAACGCCAACACTCCACCCCACCACCACGCTGCCGCCATGCTAGGTCACGCAACCCCCACCACCAGAAACAACCCCACCCGCCAAAAAACGACAGCAACCGCATATGCGACGAAAACAACGGGCAAACGACGCCAACGCCGACCAGGACCGCCTAGCAACAACGTCAACCCCAATCAATGGATACGACGGGCAAACGACGACTAGCGCCCAGGACGATCGACCACCAGCGCCCATGAGCAGTGCCCACCACGGCCCTAAAGCCACGAACGACCCCACGAGCAAGCCGGGCCATCGCAGTCTGCGACGTGGCAACGATGCCACAGGACGACGACGACATGATCGTCGTCGTCGTCGCCAGTATGTAATGGATACGGTAAGCCCCTCCACCTCTATGTCAACCCACGTAACTGACACATCACAAACCCCCCACATCACCATGCCACTCCTTCCGAAAGGAAGGGGCATGCCGCTGATGGCCACGTCATGACGCGAAACGTCCCCAGTGACGAGGACACCAGAGGGCGAAAGACAGACGACGATGACGACGACGACGACGATGGCATACAGACAACGGACAACGGACAACGGACAACAACGACCACGGCGTACGGACGACAATGACAATGACAACGTACAGACGACAATGACAACGTACGGACGACAACAACGAAGACGACGTACAGACGACAATGACGAAGACAACGTACGGACGACAACAAAGAAGACGATGATGAAGACGACAGACAGACGACAACAAAGACGACATACGGACGACGACGAAGATGACGCACGGACGACGACGGCGACGGCGAGCGTACAGACGAGGAGGAGGAGGAGGAGGAGGGCCTACAAGCGACAGACGACGACGACGAAGACGCGGTGAGCACCACCACCACCACCCACAGCGACGAGGGCTCGATACCCCTCCTTAACTGCCCACTACTCCCTCACTGCCCACCACTCCCTCCCCCTCTCCTTTATCCCACCACTCCCTCCCCCTCTCCTTTACTGCCCACCACTGCCTCCCCCTCTCCTTTACTGCCCACCGCTCCCTCCCCCTCTCCCTCATTGCCCACCTCCCCCTCCCCCTCTATCCACCTCACTGCCGACCACCCTTCTCCTTCAGTGCCTACCACCCTCCCCCCTCTATCATTGCCTACCACTCCCTTCCCCTCATTCATCCTTTCCCCTCCCCCTCATTCATCCCTTCCCCTCCCCCTCATTGCCTACCACCCCCTTTCTGATTGCTTACCATCCCTTTTCCTTCATTGCCCACCACTTCCTCACTGACCACCACCCCCTCACTCCCTCCCCCTTCCTTCCCTTTACTTACTCTCTAAAGTAGTAATGTAAATCTATGTAATTAAGTTGAATGAACTGCAGCTTTCTCTTCTGAATTCTAGAGATAAATCTACTAAGTATGTTTGTACTGTCACTTGGATGTATGTATGACTTCAGATATATCTACCAAGAATATATGTGGGTATATATCCTGCTATATGGATATATTTTTGCAGATATATGGATTAAGAAGATGTGTAAAGTGTATATGTACTGTCACTTGAATATATAACTTCAGAAATATCTTTCAAGTATATATATCCTGTCATTTAGATATATTTTGTGATTATATGCAAGGATGATAGTCACATACAGTTCATGGGAAGTGGAAATTTACTGTGGATATATTTTTGCAAATATGTATATCAAGTCACCATATGTTGACAACAATTTTATACAGTACCCATGATGCCTGTGTGGGCTTGTGGACAGAGGCAATTTCAGTGCATTTGTGAATTGGAAGTTCCAGGGTGATTCCGGTGGCAACTATGGTGGTGACATTGGTCTGCCACACAACCTGCTTCATCACTGTAACTCTTCAAATTTGCTCTCTTCCTTCAACACAATACCACTATACCTTTTGTTATTTCATTATAGTCATTAGAATCTACCTCTATGTAATAATTACTGCATCCACCTCTGAGAAGGAATAGAGAGAAAGTAGCAAAAAATCAAAATCAAAAATCAGGTGTCATGTGCACCTGATTCCAACTGTTTCCATAAGAGGTATGGCAATATATGAGTGCTACATAGTATATAATATAAGGAAGTGGGTGTGTGTGTGATGAAACAGATGACAGTAATACTATGTAGATAGCATGAGTTGTTACTGCAAGAGCCCTTCTCATGCTTAGTAAAGACTTCCCTGGCAGAGAGAGTGAGCTGTTGAGACAAGAGCCTTATAGAGACAAGAGCTTTATAGAAAGGAGAACTCTCATCTCACTTTTCAGCCAGAAGGGAATCTAAAAACAGATGCATGAGTGATCAAAGTCAAGCCAAATCAAATGATGTAGTGTTTTTGCAAGCTTTACAGTGTGACCGTAAAACTTGCATCCCAGTGTGGATCACATGGGTTGAGCAGCAGCTTGTATCACATGTCAGTGGACACAGTGACTGTGGTTGCATGTGTGCAACAACAAGCCCTGGATGGCTCTTATTGAACCTGAGTAAACTCAGTTTAAACTCAATATTCAAGATAGAGGAAACATCTCTTGATATATTGTCATGTTAACCAATATGTGATAGTCCTCCAACTTATATGGTTTAGATCTATAATGTTCATTGCCCAAGTCATAGTCCTCCCATTGAAAGGTTGATCTTGTTCATTGCCCAAGACATAGTCATGGAGCTATGATGTTCATTGACCAAGTCAAAGCCCTCCAACTTGAAGACTTCTGATCTGGAATGTTGCTCAAGTTGTAGTCCTCCCACTTGGACTGTTTTGATCTATGATGGACAGTCAGACTGTTGTAGCCTTCATGTAGGCCATTATAGTGGTCTATATCGTCCAAATAGTCAAGGAAACACAGTTCCAGATGGTGGCTAAGACTCTAAAATTAATAGGAAAATTACCTAGAATATATGTCTCACATGGCAGAAAAATCACAAGTTTTTTTTAGGGACTGGGACCCCAAACACCCCTAGTGGCTGAAGAAATATATCCTTGGTCAACCCCAGCAGCAAAATATATCCTAAGTCCATCCCAGACCAGAAATATATTTCTACATTGTGACAGTCACAATTCAGAGTCCAGGCATAAGAAATATATTTGGAGTCGATCTCAGTGAAGAAATATATTTTGGGGTGTGTGACACACTACAAATATATTTGGTGTGACATTGGAGTTCAAAATATATTTAGGTAAAGTAGAGATATACAAGCCCCAGGATATATACAATATAGATATACACTCTGACATTTAGTCCCGTAGTATTCATGGAGTTTGCAAGACTAATAGTCAGTTGTTAGTGGGTGACTGAAGTGCCAAGATCTTTCCCACATATTGATTTTGTGTCAAATGTATTGTGTTCTTCTTGAGATCCCTTTGAACTTCAAATCCTACTATTTGTTTAAGTTCTCCAAGATCTGAAATATCAAATTTTTGGCTGAATTCTCCTTTGAATTCTGCCATTGCTTCCTCATTTGAAGCTAAAATTAACATGTCATCAACATGAACTCTGATGATAACGATGTTGTTCCTGATGTGCCTGATATAGACACATTGATCTGAAAATAGCCACGTGAAGCTGAGTTGAATGAAAGTTTTGTTTAACTTTTCATTCCACACACATCCAGATTGTCGTAGTCCATAGAGTGTATGCTGTAATAAAAGTACTGAGTTTGTGCCATCCTTGTATCTGGGGATTTGCTTCATGTAAATTTGTTCTTTGAGTTCTCCATTGAGATAAGCTCCCACAACGTCAACAACATGGGCGACTAATCCGTACATTGCGGCAATGGCTAATAATAGCTGCAAAGTATCAAGGCGCATCACTGGTGCGAAAGTCTCAAAGAAATCTATCCTGGGGATCTGTGAAAAACCTTTGGCAACTAATCTTGCTTTGTGCTGCACGATTTTTCCTTCTGTGTCGCGCTTTAGGCAGAATACCCATTTACAGTTGATGGCAACTCTATCTTTAGGAATTTTTGTTTTGATGTATGTCCCTAGATTTTCTAATTGAAGAACTTCCGCATCCATTGCCTTTTTCCATTCAGGCCAATCTGGACAGGATCTTGCTTCTTCAACATCTTTCAGGTCATCATCAACCTCTGGTGCTTTTTCTGCAAGCATAGCATAATCATATGTTATTTCCATGTCTTGCAAGAAATTGCTTTCTTCTTGTGAGAGAACTGGTACCTGATGCTGCCATTCCCGAGGACCTCTTGCTGCAGGATTATTTAAAAACCTATAATGGAATGGTGACTTCTCGGCAACATGTGTAGATTTTTCCTGAGTTGGAATTGGAATCTTTGACGTTTTTGGCATGTCCATGATCATGGTATTATTAGTACTGATGTTCTTGTCAGGGTTATCATCTGATGGGAGATTGTCCGATTGACTATTCTCCCCCTCAATCTCCATAGGATGATTGACTGTGACCTCAAATTCATCATAGTTGTGATTTCTTGGTCATCACTTTGAGAAAATAACAGTGTGTGAGGTTAATATTTGCTGGCCATTCCAATAACGG